TTCTGCTTTGGGTTTACTGGCAGGCCACAAACCACTTCACGGCGTATACTGCCACCCGGAGTCCCCGGAGTTGGGGACTGGCTTCAGTAGAAGCTGCTGGGAGTCGCATCAGCTTCTACTGAAGCCTTCCGAGTAAATCGCCAGAACGCCGACACCTCCTCATCTCCACCTCTCCACCTCTCCCATGTTTTCTTTTGTGTTGCCATAAGTTAGTCTCTCTGCGTTTGTGCGCTGGGCTAATGCTAATGCTAATAATGCTAATGCGAGGATAATAAAATGGCGGCTTCACAAAACTTTTTGGGAGTTTTACGGGGCGTGGTTTGCATTCCGCCCAGCCAATCAGAAATAGGAACCTTTTTCTCCCACGAAAGTCCCTGCTCTCTAGCAGGGACGGAAAAGGGGGTAAAAAGGTTCTCATTAACTCATTTTTGTTCCGGATTTTTTTGGTGTGAACGCAACATTTCGGAACTAAAGTGGGAAAAGTACTGCGGTGTGAAAGCGCCTCTCATCAGTATTTGACAGTGAAAATGACATAAACAGTAGACTAACAAAATATAATACATAAAACAAATACAAAATCAGTCTTAACCGAGGGCCTAGGTTTCCTTTTAGCATGAAGTGATGGGTTTGGACATTTTTAGAGCATTAACATTCACCAGATTGATGGTTGAAATGTCTTTATTTATGTAAATAAATAAAACAATTCAGGCACCAGGTGATAATTCAAAAATATAATGAATGATATAGCAGTATGGGTCTCAGACATTCTGTATTCATTTCAAATCTGAATGTTATCCCTGCTGAGTCCATCCAAGTCAATTCATCTTTTGGTTGTCAGCCCTTATACACAACAATACTATGTTTATTTGAATTTCACTTCAATTTATAAAACCCCTTGACATTAATAGCTCATATGTGTCTTTAGCCAGATTTCTCCTAATGTTGATAACTTACTACACATTCAAAATAAATCCCACATGTGTAATCTCTTATGACAGTTTCCCAGTAGTTAACCTGGTAGAGCTTGAACCATGTACCAAATCAGAACCCTAACTATATGCTGCAAGTCATGTATCATATGTATCATGGTGGGAGGCGTGTGGTGCAGTGGGTTGTGCGTTGGTGTTGGGATCAGGGGGTCACAGGTTCAAACCCCACTGCAGTCAGCATGTCGTTGTGTCCCTGAGACACTTCACCCCAAATTGCTCCTGTGGGGATTGCCCACAGTATTGAGTATGTAAGTCGCTTTGGATAAAAGCGTCTAACAAGTGACATGTAATGTAATGTAATGTAATGTAATGTATCATAATAAAGGCTTTGGCTAAAAGATAGCATTTAATCAGAAAAAAAATTAACTACTTCACTATCGGAAGAAAACCTCAAAGCTGAGAGGAGATTACATTTAAAATGTTATATCAATGCACTATTATCTTTAATGTCACAATTGTTTAAGCCTCACTTTTAATGATATCAACATAGTTCATATTTTAAAATGTTGACAGACCCATATTTTTTGACAGAAGAAATGTCATAATCAACAAAGGAAAAGGCCCATTTCATCCGGATGGAAATCCATGTCAAAAGAAAATGAAAAGATCAACATTCAAGTGGATGTGCAGTGATACAAGACCCCGTTTACACGAGGACGATACGGGTTGTATCCGCATAGTTTCTCTTGCGTATAGCCCTTTCGTTTACACGAGGCCGTAACAAAACGATAGGAACGGACCCCGCAAACGTTAACGGGTCCCAAGGTTGATTAGATCTGCAAACGGAACGCTCTGGGAGGCCAAACGGCTCTGTGTGTACGCCTCTATACGATCATTTTCTGATAACGATGAAATAGCCCCGCCTCCCTCTCCCCACGTCTCCTGCTCAGAGATCAGCTGCTGGGCTGTCAGAAGAGGGGGAGGAAAAGAGAGGCTCCGTTTATTATTCTTATATTATTATATAGTCGTTATCAATTTGTTTTAAAGCTCAATAAATAACAAAGAAGACCTCTGACCGGCACTTTTCTAATTTTGTCCGGAAGATTTAAACTTTAACGGACATGTTGACCGGCGAAAAAAAATGTTAACGGAAACTCTGCGGCATGGTTCCCTCGTCCCTGGAAGAGGCGGAGAGGTGGGTGTTTTTCATCTGCTGGTGGACTACCGGAGAGATTTACAGCAGGAGCACACGCCGTCCACCTTGGAGAATAAACAGAAGGGCAACCATGGCAACCATGCTCCGGGGTCTTCTTCGCTGCTTTTGGTGTATTTTGTGGCGGCAGCAGCGCTATTTACAGGCCCGGCATATGTACTACAGCGTTTCCAGCATTTCCAGCGGTCTCGTGTGAACAGACACGTTAAATGAATCGAATGCGTGTGAACTGAAGACTTTTTTGAAAACGCATACGGTGCGTAAATGCAAACGTTCCCGTGTAAATGGGGTCTAAGAGTCATAGGAGCAGGGTGATGTCAGGAAGAAACATCACATGACATGGCAGGGAATACTGTTCAAAGCTTGGGCAATGTCCGGTAGATGTCTCACTAACGCTAGAATATTAAGGGGTGAGCTGTGTGCTGGAGTTTCTGTTGATTTAGTACAAAAGTGAACTCAGTTGATACTTACACAGTCAACTAGGAAGTCTTCCGCCACGTTGTCCTCCAGGAGACGCTCTACTATCTTCAGGGCTCTCTTCTCCAGATCATACTGTTGCCTTAACTTGTCCTTCACCAACTCTCTCCTGACAGAGGACAGTTCACACGTTAGAGGAAGTGCTTTTACTAAAGACATGTTTCACTAACATTTTGGCTGTAAAAGAGGTTAGTGGAGGTAGGGAAAACAATCAAAGTACAGTCTTAAAGATAAGTGTCTGAGAAGGTACACTCTCTAGGAACAATAAGTTCAACTCTATCTGGCATCCTCCAAACAGGGACTTCAAATGAAAATATGTTATTTCTCACCTTCTTGCTTCTTCTTCAGCAGCCATTGTTTTGACGCCTTTCCGCCCTGCCAGCAACACGATTACATTATTCAAATCAGAGATTGAAAAAGTGTTCAGATCCTCTACTTAGGTAGAAGTACTAATAATACACTGTAAACACACTCCATTACAAGTAAGAGTACTCAATTGAGATCAGAACTTAAGTCAAAGTATATAAGTATGATCAGGAAAATGAACTGCAGCACATTTTCACGCTTTAGACTAGAACTTTAAAAAGTGTTTACATAAATAAATACTAAAACAATTTGCATTGACTCTTTTATTTTTAAATATACTTTTTATGTATATTATTGTTTTTTATATGTAAACATCAGATTAGTAACTTAAGCTGCAAAATAAATGTAGTGAAGTCAAATCAAAATATTTCCCTTTGAATGATAGTGCAGTAGAAGTGGCACGGATAGAAAATACCCGTACCCTAATTGTGTACTTAAGTACAGTGCTTGAGTAAATGCATTCAGTTACTTTCCACCACTGATGAAAACACTAAAGGCCTGTTGAACTTGTTCCTACTGTGTTCCAGTCATTGAGAACTACACATGTATACATATTTTAACTCTTTCTGACACATGCCAGGATACACACATATTCGGAAAGCCTGATATGGATAAGTAAGAACATATTATTAGTGAAAACCTACCATTTTTAGTAGTTTTAGCAGAGCCTTCGCTCCTTCTCCTCTCCTCCGTCTCCATGTTGTTCTTGTTTGCTACAGCTTGAACTCTGACATATGACGTAGTTCCTTCTACGGCAAGCCTAACGGACAATTCAGCCGTTCGCGCTTTAATCCGGTAGCGTTAGCTTGGTATTGTCACCGGGCTGTTTGGACATGTAGTGTGCTAAGGTGGGGTTCTACATTTCTGTTCATTTTGTTCCGTTTTTCACTTTTATATTCGGAAACAGGGAGTGGTGTTTTAACTGTGTTTGTATAGCTAGGCTAGCACAATAACACGTTGTAATGCCTAAAGGCTAGGCTAATTCAGATGTATTCAGTAGCATTCATTCTCTTTTAGACTTCTATGTTTACAGCAGGCACGTTGTTTATCTGACTTTAACAAATCACAATCAAAATGTTTGCACATGCAGCTGTGGGAGTATGCACTTAGATTAGGAGAGATTTCTACTTGATTATTCTATGTTGTGCATTATTTTTGACAGGAAGCATCCTGTTTGTGTTGGAGGAGTTTCTGTGTGAAGATAACCTGAAGACAGAGAGGATGGCTCTGGAGCAGCTCAGTGATGTGGTCCAGAGATGTGTGAGTCACCACACCCACCTTCTGACATGCATACACACTTTACAACTATTCATGTCTGGGTTCTCCAACGAAATATTTACATATTTTGCATGGACTATGGATAACTTCAATATCTATATTGTAGAGTGGACTGTGGTGCTTTCAAAAAATACACTATGACATTTTTGATGAATTATAATGAGTTATGTACTGTAAAGCACTTTGTACATTCGTGTTGAGAAGGGTGCTATATAAATAAAGTTTTACTTACTTACTTATGTGGATGTAATGGGTTGGTAAAGGCAAATAAACATACAGTCTAGTAAGTTCAGAAAATGACATCTCTACTATAATGTATTTTTAAAAACCAGGTAAGAAATGATGCAATATGACAATATCAGAAATCTAAGATGATATCTCGTCCTATGGCACAATATTGATATATTAGTGCTGTACTGCCCATCCTACCTCAAATGTATTCACTCTACAATCAAATAAAAGCAGGAAATTGTCCCATTGAGCAGTTGGAAACAAGCATTTTGAACATATAAAATGAATTTATTATCATGTCCTACAATAAAACTCTTTACATGTTTGTTTTTTAATCCTTCACCTGTCTTCCTTTAATACAGCAAGCCCTCCCTGATGACAGCTACACCTCAGAGGACCATGACGTATTCACCATTTCTGGAAGGACCTGCATCGAGGAGGGAGACAGCGCCCAGGTCCTCAGCATTGTCCTGGATGAGAAGAACCAGGTACTGAAGCTGAGCCCTGTTCCAGCACTTAGACTTGTTCACGTGTGTGTTGCACACTGCATTAACACTCCTCTTGTCCCCCTCTCTGCAGGAGATAGTGAGGTGTATGGGCTGGAACCTGCTGCCTCCTCTGATCCAGGTTCTGATGAACAAAGACAGCGAGAAGCTCTCTCAATGCCTAGCCATTTTCAACCACCTGCTACAGGTCTGTTCATAAAATATATAGGATAAAACACAAGTTATAATTTGATAAGATCCACTATCCAAACTAGCAAAGTGTAGATGCGTACTAGTAGGTACGATTTTCATTGATATAGCACTTTTAAAACAATGTTACAGAGGGCTGCAGAAATAATTGAATTTATATCAAAATTGCACTATGGACTAGTGTTTGTTTTGTTTTCAGACCTGCAGACCCAAAGAGCTTCTGATTGGCCTGCTGGAGCAGCTGGAGCAGGACGACCCCGTGGCCATAGCAGAGAGCCTCCACCTGCTGCTGAAGCCTCTGCAAAGAGGTAACACATCTGTACTGTCAGGGCTGCTGCTGAAGATGATTAATTATGGGTTATGTATTACTTATGGGGCCGAAAAGCTCATTCTGTGGGGACATGGGAACCGGCGAGCAAAACTGTGGACTACTTTGTTAGTTGCCAGTGAAAAAAAGGAGAGTCAAATTTAAATGATATATATATTTTTATATATATTTTTTATGTATGTCTATGATAATAAAAGAGGAATTTATTACATATATTTATCAAATATATAAAAACCCGGTTTTTAAAACTCCAAGTACATGTTGTCAAAATCCAAAGATATTCACTTTATTGTGATACAGAGCGGAGAGAAGCATGAAATATTCTGTTAAGCTTTTATTTCACAAAACTGTGTCTCAGGGCTTCTTAACATTTAATAAACTATGAATGTGTCATACTCACTTAACGGGAAGAAACTCAGCTAACTGACGATACGAACCATTTTTACCGAAACAAAACAAAAGTCTCACAAGAAGCGTCTAAATTAGCCCTGAGCGAAAAAATGCTATCGCACTTAGCACAGAACTCTAGGTATATAAATACTTTATTACTTATCGGATCTGCACAAACAATATATTAGCTAGCAAGCTGAGATTCCACAGATTCTAGAGGTATTAGTATCATCACTGAGCGACCAGAACTCGCGACATGGGAAGCAAACACAGACATCACAACACAGAACTTTATGGAGCAAAAACGGGAGAAATGTCTTACCTGTTGCTGTTTCTGATCAAAAGTTGTGTTCAATGCATAGACTGTATATATAAAGGTTCAATGGCATTAAAACGAGAAAAACGCGGCTGAAGGTTAATCCAATGTGTCTGTGTCACTTTGAAATGATTACTGATAATCCATCATTCAATTTTTATGTCAAAAACTGAGTTTTCATATTAGCTGCTATGATAGCAACCAGAGTGTATGACAGCTTCCTGTTTTGGGTATTCTGGCTACGCATCACTCTCACTCCTTATTTGGTAACGTGTAGGTGGATTTAGGAACTTCCCCACTCTGACGGTTAAAAAGAGATGTCAATCATCAAAATCGACCGATGGGTTCCAGAGATATGGAAAATCCACCCAAATGACCCCAGAAGTGGGGTTTTTTCTAAACCTCTAAAAAGGTCAAATTTCACTTGTTTTGCATCAATCTTGATACAGGGTACTTATTATATGTTATAGTTTGGATTCCTAAAGCTTTTAGTCTACCATCCCATCATTCAAGGGTGGTTTTCACTATAAGTAATGTTTTATTTTTGGACGGACACTATAATTTACGTTTTTTTACTATGTTCAATCTGAATTTACTTTAAAATAAAAAAATCTATATTGATTCTGACTTTTCTACATCCAACTCACAGATACCTTGCTTTGAGAAAAAAGATGATTAATTTACCCCTTTTAGAAGTGAAGATATAGTCATTTGTTCTGGGAATGTCATTTTCGAGCCTGAGACCTGGAAAACAGGCTTGGGGCTTAACAGGTCATGTTTAATTGCTACATGCTGTGTGTTGCCATGAAGATCTAGCCTTTCTATTTGCCCAATGAGTGGCCTGATAGGAAGCAGAATGTCATTTTCGAGCCTGAGACCTGGAAAACAGGCTTAACAGGTTAAAGCATTTACTGCAATTTTTGCATGAAAAATGTGTTGTAATAAATAATCCAAATATTTGGCGTTTCATCTTCCCAGGATGCATTAGTCCACTTTCTGTTGCAGATTTACTAGAACTATGTTCTGAATGTACTTGCTCCACATGTGGACTCAGATGCATCACCTCTCCTCCGTGTCTCCCTCTCAGTGCTGCTGTGCCTGGGCAGCCGGAAGGCCTCGTCTCTGGGCATGACTCTGTGCTCTGTGCTGGACCAGCTGGCCAAACTGCCTCTGCCTCACACCAAGGAGCAGGAGGAGGACGACGTGTTCTCCCTGTGTCGCTGCTGCAATGATATCACAGACTTCGTCAAGCCCTTTGTCCAGGAGGCCAGGCAGAACCTCCAGAACAGAGAGGGGAACATCCAGAGAACAGACAGGGTGGGGTGGGAGCTGGGCCGGGACAAGGAGGACGAGCTGAGGACAGAACTGCTGAAGTTGTGAGTGGGAAGTTTTAGATGATTGCTTATTAAATCTCTGCAGCATGCTGAACTCTGTCTTCCTGTCTGCAGCTGTATGAAGACGCTGAGTCACACTCTGCTGGAGGCGCAGCTCAAAGACCCCGACACTCTGCCAGAGTCCCCCCTCAGGGACTTCGCCACAGACATTTTGGTACGGAAATGAAATCACTAATATTGTGTGAAAAGCGCATGCTGAGCAGTGACTGGAGTATAAAGGTTGGGATGGGTCCTGCTGATCGGGGGAGTTTCTACAGCAATACGGCAATGAAAGAGATGTTTTTACTCCACACTCATTTACTTTAGAATCTGTCTGCACTAATACAATATTGATATTTTAAATGTTCTAGATTTATATGATTTTTAAATGTATGTTCTACCTTATTATTTACTTTGTTGGATTGGAGGTTTATTTTATAGCATATGTTTTATTTATTTTTATTTAGCAGACAAGCTCCTCTTTGTCTACAGCGGTTTATTTTTGGTTATAGGGAGGATCCAAACATCAACCAAAAAAACTCATTTGTAAACAACCATCCATTTGAAATATATATATACTAATAATTCTAATAATTCATGGCATTTATTTGAGCACTTTTACAAGTGCTCAAAGCGCCTTACATCACATATTACATATATTAGACATGTAATACATCAAGACTGTGGACAATACCCACAGCAGCAGTTTGGGGTGAGGTGTCCTGCCCAATGACACAGCGACATGCTGATCAGTAGATACAGCACTCACATTTGGTTGGTCGACACTGCCAGATGGTTTGTTGTGGTGTGTGTGTGTGTGTGTGTTGTGTGTGTGTGTGTGTGTGTGTGTGTGTGTGTGTGTGTGTGTGTGTGTGTGTGTGTGTGTGTGTGTGTGTGTAGTGTGTGGTGTGTGTGTGTGTGTGTGTGTGTGATGTTGTGTGTGTGTGTGTGTGTGTGTGTGTGTGTGTGTGTGTGATGTGTGTGTGTGTGTGTGTGTGGTGTGTGTGTGTGTGTGTGTGTGTGTGTGGTGTGTGTGTGTGTGTGTGTGTGTGTGTGTGTGTGGTGTGTGTTGTGTGTGTGGTGTGTGTGTGTTGTGTGTGTGTGTGTGTGTGTGTGTGTGTGTGTGTGTGTGTGTGTGTGTGTGTGTGTGTGTGTGTGTGTGTGTGTGTGTGTGTGTGTTACAGAGCAGCCTGAGTGCTGTGGGCGAGTCCCTCCCCAGCCTGGTGTTCCAGCCCCTGCTGAGGAGGAGGCAGGTCCCGGGCTTCCTGGAGGAGGAGGTGCGGTACCCCAAAGAGTCTCTGGCCTGCCTGGCCCACCTGCTGTTCGTCCATCACCTGGCGGCTGACGCTTTCCCCAGTGTCTTCAGGTACCAGAGAGCAATATCTGCTGCCATAGAGGTCAGGGCTCTGAGGCACTGTAGGAGTGGGTAGATATGAACACTGGACAGTACTGACGGTCCTTTGTACAGCTTAAACACCTAATATAAGGGGGACTTTCAACCTGGACCCCATTTCCCTTCAGTTTTTTATGTCCAAGTGTCTTATGGTGACAACAGTTATTTAAATAGGTCCTTGCCTCTGACAGGCTCAGATAGACAGATTATATACAGAATATCTGTATTTGTGAGAAATAAAACGTTTGCTTTAGCTTTCAACTTGATGCAGTCTGTTTCTAACCAAGTCTCGCTCGTTCTGAAATCTTGCGTTGCAACCACATTGTCAGAATCGGATCAATATTTAGCCAGGACAAATCTTTTGGATAAAACTCAGCTACGCTTCAACAACAAACTCTGACAACACCTAGGCCCTTTCTCATTTCACTCATTCCCCTCCTCGACTCCTATCCTCGTGTCTTAGTCCCGCCCACAGGAGATGCGAGCGGAGGAGTCGAGGAGGGGAGCCGAGGAAAGAGGAGGGGAAGCAGCAGGCGGTTAGAGAAATGAGAACTCCTCTCCTCTGAGCGGTCATTTTAAAGAGACGTCCATTAATGATGACAGGAGGCACAGCAGCCCTCTGTCTGATGGACAGATGTGTTCATGAACACTTATATATTTACTTTATTCACAGTGCGGTATAATGAGACAATAACAGGCTACAGATGCGGACACATACACACACACACATTTATATTTATATATATATTTATATAAATATATACAATTTCAGATTCAAAGAAGTATGAGAGCACTCTCATAATAACGTAACACTATCAGAGACTGGATATATCCCCCTCTTTAACTCTCACTCATATTCCACAGTTGTCATTGGCCCACAAGTGACATGAAACAATGACAGTGTAACTTGTGTGAAACTTATATTGTTAAAGAAATGATTAAATTGACGGTGCACATGTTCTCCTGAGCCATCACATGGCTTTCACTCTATACTGGACCTAACTCAGCAAAGCCTCTGTAAGGGACTGAGAGGCAGAGTAGTGGGAGGCACCTACATTCCCAATAGGTGGCTCCACCCGCTGCCAATTAGCAGTATTGGGACCAGGTGTGGAGACCTCACACCTGGTGCTAATCACTCCCTCAAGGGAGACAAAGCACACAGAGTTGCTCAGTTGTGTGTGGCACATGGAGGGAGCAGGAGGCTCCCAGCGTGAGGAAACATTTTTGTAAGCTGGTAAGTCGGTTAGCGGCCCGGCTACGTTAGCCTTTGTTTAGTTAAAGGTATTTTTGAGTTTGTTAGCAATAAAGCCTCTTTTTGGATTTGAACACTGCCTCTGTCGTGATTGCTGCACTACCACTTTTCTCTTTATCTGCCCTGTCCTGTTACACTGGTGGAGAATGCGGGCATAAAGACTCTATTGGTGGTGTTGCAGTCAGAACAATTTTTTTTTTTACGTTTTCAAGATGGAGGATGTACTAAAGGAGTTGGTGCGTATTTCTACTGAGCAGCAGACTCTGCAACGGCAGATGATACAGGAGCAGCAGAAACAGAATGCACTTCTCCACATGGAGGTCCAAAAATGCCTTACAGCAGCCTCTCCTGTCCAGAGGGAAGCAACCATGCAGCCTAACCCAGGTCGATTCATCCCCAAAATGACAGAGAGTGATGAGATAGAGGCCTACTTAACGGCCTTTGAGCGCACAGCTGAAAGAGAGGGCTGGCCAAGGGACTCCTGGGCTGATCTGGTTGGACCGTTCCTCCTGGGCCCGGCACAGCAAGCTTACTTCGACCTCCCTCCGGACCAAGCAAAGGATTACGTCGTCTTGAAGAAGGAAATCCTGGCGAGGTATGGCTACAGCTTAGCAGCAAGAGCCCAGCGGTTCCATGAATGGAAATACAAGCCAGAGTTGTCAGCCAGGGCCCAGATGTATGACCTAGGCCGGGTAACCAGAGCCTGGCTGACATGCAACCCCGAAAAGTTAAGTGTTTTAGAGAGGATAATGATGGACAAATATATTCGGTCTCTGCCCTATGAGATCAAGAAAATGACAAGCCAGCAGAATCCAGCCGGTCTGGATGAGTTGGTTAACGTAGTGGAGAGCCACGTGGTCACAGCGGACCTGCTTAAGTCCACACGACCAGACACCGAGTGGGGCCGGAAAGTCAGTGGGGAAGCATCACGGACTAGACGGGCACGAGAACCGCGATGGGAACCAGAAGAGGTAAGGCGACGACAGTCCTACCTGCCAGAGGGCCAACCGCGTTGCTACCAGTGTGGGGAGACAGGCCATATTGCCCGGGACTGCCCAGGGAAGGATGAGCTAATGCCGACCGCCAACTCATCTGGTGCAAGGCCCTGCCACCTTCTTGACTCTTGCTGGGTACAGGAAAGCTCCCTGGCTCAAATGATACCAGTCAAAGTAAATGGAAAAGATGCAGAGGCGCTAGTGGACTCAGGAAGTGTGGTAACCCTCATTCAACCCCACCTCCTCGACCATTTGCCATCTGAAGAGACTGTGCCCGTCTCCTGTGTCCATGGGGACACTAAATTATACCCCACTTGCCTCATCCACCTTACCACAGTTAAAGGCAGCTGTGAGATGAAAGTGGGGGTGGTTCCTTCCCTACCAGTCCCAGTCTTGGTGGGGCGAGACTGCCCACTATACAAGCGCCTGCGGCACCAGAAGGAGGTGAGTCCCAAAAAGCACAAGCGTGCCAAAGGAAAACGAGAGGGAGGACAAACTGCCACCCAGGGTACTTCTCCTCAGCAGTTCCCCAACGTTGTGTGTGCTGTGCCGGAGGAGCAGAGAGGCAACCAATCTTCCAGTGCAGACGAGGCAAATGATAACCCTTTTGTTGCTTTCCCTGGAGACCTAAGCACAGGTCATGAGGAGGGGGAAGTCTCATTGCTTCCAAGTTTGAAGGGCCAGTTCGGGACCGCCCAGATGGAAGACCCCAATCTGTTGCATGCACGCAGCAATGTTACGGAAATAGAGGGAAAACCAGTTCCAGGAGTGGGTGAGCTTACATGTCCTCATTTCCTAATAAAAAATAATCTGTTATACTATGCTAAAGAGGTTGAAGGTCAGCGAAGAGACTTGTTGGTTGTCCCAAAACAATATGTGTCCACAGTGTTGCATCTGGCTCACAGCCATGTCCTAGGGGCCCACCTAGGGGTTGAGAAGACAAGGCAGCGGATTGGGAGCCGGTTCCACTGGCCAGGGGTGGTAAGGGCTATAGAGGATTATTGTCGCACCTGTGTTGAATGTCAAAAGATGAGTCCCAAGCCACACTTTAAAAGTCCCCTAATACCTCTACCGATAATCGATGTACCGTTTTCTCGCATTGCCATGGACTTAGTGGGGCCGCTGGTGAAGTCTGCCAGGGGACATCAGTATATTCTTGTGATCCTTGACTATGCAACCAGGTACCCGGAGGCCATTCCCTTGAGGAACATGACAACGAGAGTGATTGCACGGGAGCTGCTTCACCTGTTCAGTCGAGTTGGGATTCCTAAAGAGATGCTAACAGACCAAGGCACTCCCTTCATGTCCAAGATAATGAAGGATCTCTGCAGGCTCTTCAAGGTAAAGCAGCTTCGTACATCTGTCTACCATCCGCAGACAGACGGATTGGTAGAACGCTTTAACAAGACGTTGAAATCCATGTTAAAGAAGGTTGTTGACAAGGATGGTCGTAACTGGGACCAGCTTCTGCCCTATGTCCTGTTTTCAATCAGGGAAGTTCCACAGGCTTCAACCGGTTTCTCCCCCTTCGAGCTGCTGTATGGCCGACAGCCCAGAGGACTTCTCGACATCGCGAAGGAAGCCTGGGAGGAGCAACCAAGCCCCCATCGGAGCCTGATTGAGCATGTAGAGACGATGCAGACGCATATGAAAGATGTTTGGCCCATGGTCAGAGAGCACATGGCTCAAGCCCAAGAAGCCCAGAGGAAAGTGTATAACAGAGGTGCCCAACCACGTGAGTTCCTGCCCGGGGATAAAGTGCTTCTCCTGGTCCCCACCACAGAACACAGATTCCTGGCATCGTGGCAAGGTCCCTATGAAGTGACAGAGAAGGTGGGACCAGTCAACTACAAGGTACGCCAACCTGGCCGTCGCAAACCATCCCAAATATACCATGTTAACCTGTTAAAGAAATGGTATGCCCGAGAGGCACTGCTGTGTTCTTGTTCCCTATTTGTATCCCCTTCTCCAGACCATGAGGTGGCCGAAGTTGAATACGGTCCAGGGCTATCCAAAGCTCAGTTACAGCAAACCAAGGAACTGGTTCAGCAGAGTTTGGATGTGTTCTCACTACGACCTGGACGCACAACGATGGTGGAACATCAAATCCACACAGAGCCGGGCCAAAAGGTAAAGATGCGACCCTACCGGGTGCCGGAGGCAAGACGGGCGGCCATTGAGCAAGAAGTGCAGAAAATGCTGGCTATGGGGGTGATTGAAGAACCTCACAGTGAGTGGACCAGCCCTGTCGTTCTGGTTCCTAAGCCAGACAAAACCAACAGGTTTTGTAATGATTTCAGAAAATTGAATGAAATCTCCAAGTTTGATGCGTATCCTATGCCCAGGATAGATGAGCTAATTGATCGGCTTGGGGAAGCCAGGTATATCAGCACTCTGGACTTGACGAAAGGGTATTGGCAGGTCCTACTTGAAGCTGCCTCAAGAGAGAAGACGGCCTTCGCCACCCCCACAGGGCTGTACCAGTACACTGTGCTTCCCTTCGGGCTTCATGGAGCACCAGCCACGTTCCAGAGACTGATGGACAAGGTTCTGAGGCCACATCGTGAGTATGCAGCTGCCTATTTGGATGACGTTGTTATCCACAGTGACTCATGGGATAGCCATCTCATAAGGCTTGCAGCAGTGCTGGAATCTCTCCGCAGGGCGGGCTTGACAGCTAATCCAAGAAAATGCAAGCTTGGACTAGAGGAAGCCGAATACCTGGGCTTCACCATTGGGCGGGGCAACGTTAGACCACAAGAAAGGAAGGTTCAGGCGATCCAGGACTGGCCACGGCCGTCAACAAAGAAACGGGTGAAAACATTCTTGGGTCTGACGTCCTATTATTGCCGTTTCATCCCAAACTTCTCCACAGTAGCCTCTCCCCTTACAGACCTGACCAGAGACTCACAGCCGCTAATGGTCAAGTGGACAGGAGAGGCTGAACACGCCTTTGAGGAACTTAAGAGGGCTCTCTGCGCACGGCCGGTGTTGGTGACCCCAGACTTCAGCCGGGGGATGATTGTGCAGACGGATGCGTCAGAGGTGGGCATAGGAGCAGTACTATCCCAGGAGGTTCACGGTGAGGAACACCCCGTCATGTACATCAGCCGGAAGCTGAACACAAGGGAACAAGTGTATGCTACTGTGGAGAAAGAAGGCCTAGCAATAAAATGGGCGCTTGAGCGCCTCCGGTATTACCTCTTGGGACGTCACTTCACTCTGGTAACTGATCATGCCCCACTGATCTGGATGGCAAATAAAAAAGACACAAACGCTAAAGTAGGAAGGTGGTTTGTCTCACTACAGGAGTTTAACTTCTCTATCATCCACAGAGCCGGAGCCAAGCATGGGAATGCAGATGCCCTGTCCCGTAGAGATGCCCTGTGGACCATGGTCACCTCTCCTAGGCCAGAACTGAAGGGGGGGGTGTGTAAGGGACTGAGAGGCAGAGTAGTGGGAGGCACCTACATTCCCAATAGGTGGCTCCACCCGCTGCCAATTAGCAGTATTGGGACCAGGTGTGGAGACCTCACACCTGGTGCTAATCACTCCCTCAAGGGAGACAAAGCACACAGAGTTGCTCAGTTGTGTGTGGCACATGGAGGGAGCAGGAGGCTCCCAGCGTGAGGAAACATTTTTGTAAGCTGGTAAGTCGGTTAGCGGCCCGGCTACGTTAGCGTTTGTTTAGTTAAAGGTATTTTTGAGTTTGTTAGCAATAAAGCCTCTTTTTGGATTTGAACACTGCCTCTGTCGTGATTGCTGCACTACCACTTTTCTCTTTATCTGCCCTGTCCTGTTACACCTCTTAAATACCACGACATAAGAAAATAGGGTCCAGGTTAAAATAACAGAACCCTTTTAAAATAATATCCTGAATGAAGATGCATTGTTAACCCTCCTGACCCTCTGTGTTCACAGTCCTGTGTTTGCTCTCCGGTGTAACATGGAGCACGTCTGCCTGCTGTTGTCCAGGTGAGTACACACAGACACAATATCATTTCATTAGCATTAGCTCAGTTCTACTGCACCGCTGGCAGTAGTGATGGGAATTCCGGCTCTTCTTGGTGAGCCGGATCATTTGGCTCGGCTCACCAAGAAGAGCCGGCTCTTTCGGCTCCCAAACAGCTCTTCAGTTTACCACATATTATACCTTTTATAATTCAATCAAATGTAGCCCTGTTTTGACTAATGATTTATATGTGTACACATATCACTTAAATTATTCAATACATCCTTTGTACTGAAGCATTCAAAAGTAAAAATGACATGTTTAATATCAATTATTTGCTGTGGCCAATTGTTTTCATTGCATTTACAGACCCTTGTATCTCTCTGATACCACCCAATGAATGCACTGACTTGCTTGTAGAACCACGCTACACAAAGCAGATAGCAACACCTATAAAAACTTAAGCATAGACATTTAAAAAAAGGGGCTACTGTATCGACATTTTAAAATTATATTTAAAGAAAAAGCCCTAACAAAACAGCAGGGCTCTATTTCAGTATTAACTATAGAAGAAAAGACAGCAACAGCTGACATCAAATCTTTGCTGAGCCCAAGGATAATCATAAATAAATAACATAGTGAAAATAAATGTATTGCAATGCTCAGTACAGCAGCATCCAACCGTCTCTAATCCTTGGATATTACATGTCACTGCATGCATGCACGGAGCAGCTGTAGCGCGGAGATCATCATATCATTCTGTCTTGTATTACTTAACAACAAATAACAAAAACAAAAAAACGGCTCGTTCGCGGGCGCGAGCCGGCTCCCGTCGTTCACTTAAAAGAGCCGGCTCTTTGAGCCGGCTCGTTTGCGACCGACACATCACTAGCTGGCAGTGTGCATGATAGTTGGCTTTCATAAAACAACGTATCATAAATGAGGATGTACTTTGTCAAAAATGTACATCAAGCCAAACAAAGCCATGTGAAGGAGATTGATCAAAAACAAAGTCATGATCAAATAATTAGGGTGCTTCCACAGCATAACCACTATTCTATTGCAGAAATGCAAACTTCTTCAGGTTAATGTTTGGTGTGTGCTGTGTTTACGAGCTGATCCCCTCATAACTTGTTTTATTGACAGAACTGAGGAGTCCAGGATTCAGAAAGGACTGGTGAGTTCAACTGAAACATACATTTAAAGATTATTTGTTTGTTTTTTGCAACATGCTCAAGATTTGTATTGTGGTTACTGTTCAAATATAACCCAGGTGATTTGTAGCTTCAAGAGAAAAAAGGATGAAAATGTTCTGATACTCGTCCAGCTGTTCTAGAGAACTGGATCTTAAGATATCCATTCTTATTACTAAGCTTCCACAGTCCAACCTAAATGCTGTGTGATCTCCATCTCAGGAGCTGTATGAGAAGAGCCTGGTGCGGGTGGAGGACGGCAGCCTGCCTGCAGACCTGCTGGAGATCAGAAGCTTCCTCACCGTCCCTCAGGTGATTCATGATCAGCTGTTGCTCTGCTGGGACCCTCACAGCGTTATGATGCTCACTGATTGATTTCCCCGTTTGTTTCCAGAACTTGGTGAAGGTGATGACGTTATGTACGAGGCATGATTTGGTAAGTCTTCGCATTAGCAGATTTAGCAATTGTGTGCAAAGGCTACATTAGGTGTAATATATATAATTCAATATAATATACTGTAGTTTGCCATATATTCATTGTCCTATGTGTTTTAGTTGTTAAGCTTTTAAGGTTCTTTGTATATTTAAATTTGGTGTAAAAACTTTGTTATTTTTTAATGCTAAATAGTTTCTTAAAAATACTTATTTTATGACCTATATTTTTTACCTACTATTGCAACTTATTCTCTTAGATTGTTTATGTTTGCACCACCAGACACCACATCAAATTCCTTGTATGTGTAAACGTACCTGGCAATAAGCTTGATTCTGATTCTAGATAGATAATGGACTTCAAGGGACAGTTCACCCTAAAATCAAAAACATATATTTCTCCTCCTAACTGTAATGTTTTTCATCTATCGAGATTGTATGGCACTTTTAGAAATGATGACCCGGATACTTAAGATAATCCACAGACTTTGATTTGGGCGGTTTCATTTAGGGAACGACCTTCTTGTTGACCTTACCACCAGGAAGACGGTAGCATGCATCTGCACCGGGATGAGGTGTAAACTTTTGTAAACCCTTTCGCCCATTGTTTATAATTCACACGTGAAATGTGCCTTTTCCATGTGAATTTGAATCAAAATGCTATTTCACATGTAACTAGAAGGGCACTCGGAGAGTCATCCCCCATCTCGCATGCTTTCTTTTAAAATATTTATTTAGCGATAAAGGTTAATGTACATGGTGTTCCCCTCTGCTGACTGTACATCAGCTAGCTCCAGTGAGCTCAGGAGAGCCTCTGGGGGTGTGGCATGCTTTCATCTACAAAGTCATACAGTATGAAACTGTTCTCAACAAGCTCTGTAGATTATCTTCAGTAACTGGGTCAACATTTCTGAAAAGAGACATTGCTATTACGTTTTTCAAAAAATCTTTTGGGTGCTCTGAGCGCCACATGCTGAGTTTCTTCTTTGAGGGGGGGTAAGGCAACTCTACGGTGATAAGTCTAACACTCTGCAACTCACACTAAGACAATCTAAGACACATTGATTTGATTTGAAATGTCCCTTTAGCGATGGCTTAGCTTTTAAATTAGGTCCCACTTCATTTGTATCTATTATTCTCTAGAGGATTTTTCTATAATAGATATTCTTTTAATATTTCCTTCTGTGTCCACAGAGAACCAGAGGTCTGAAGGTGCTGCAGCTGAGCATCGATAAGCTCAACACTGAAGCCAAGTACAACTTTTTCCAGTAAGTTCCACTTGTCTTCCATAAATATCTCCTCCTGTCCCACCCTCCAGCAGACTGACTCTAACTCTACCTGTGTTTCAGGTACATGCTGAAAACCAGCAGTCACTCAGGAGTGGAAGGCTACGTCATCAAAAACATCAAGAATCAGATCGACGCTGCGCTGCAGGTCTGATGCTGAACTAAGAGCTAAATGATGGTTGTGTACTGTAGTTCAAAATGTCTTATACAAAGCATCCTTCCTTCCTTCCTTCCTTCCTTCCTTCCTTCCTCCCTTCCTCCCTCCCTCCTCAGCCGGGGAACAGTAACTCGTGGTTTGAGGGGGTGCAGCTGCTGCCTCTGCTGAGGAAGGTTCTGGTTCTGCCCGACGGGCCGGAGACCGACCTGCTGCAGTACCTGGACAGGTCAGCACACTCAACACTGCATCCATTTTATATGCCCCAACTCATTGGAACATTTCCCAGCATGCATTAGGGCGAGAGTTCATAGCAACTACACAATTAAGAAAATAGTCAGTGAGCTTTTTTCTCCTGACTGTATGATTTGAGGTTATTGTGTATTGCTTTATTAATCAGTAAAGTATGTTTTTATAGATAAAGCCAATGTTAACAATTATTTATTCTATCAAGCATTAGTGTGCTTCCAGGCATGAGTACATCAGTTTTACATGGACTCAAATGTACTTTTGTCCCCATTGTCAAATGAATAAAATATGAAAGTTTAGTTTAGAGTGACACTAATTGAAGTATAGGATAACAAATGACTCTCTGAACTGTCACATGTAACACTGTATCAGGGCCATCTATAGGTGAACAGTTTTTTATGTAGCCAGCAGTGGGGAGGGGTTGTGAATTTACAACACATCACTTAATCCGCCTCTCTTCTCGAAGATGATGGTTCACCACTATCCTTCAAGGTTTTAATAATGCGTTGGAGAGTTCTTAACCCGATGTTATTAGTTTCAGCAATCTCCTTAGTTGTTTTCTTTGCTTGATGCAGGCCAATACTTGGACCCTTCCTTGACCTTTATATGCTGTTGTAGTGCTACCCTGTCATTATTACATGATTATGTTCATACAAAAGTGAGTGGGTGAACCTGATTGTGTGTTGTTTTAAACAGAATCATGGAGTCTCTGAACCTGCTGCGTTACCTCGTCATCAGAGACAAAGTGACAGAGAACCAGGTGAGGGTTGTACCTGAGTGAATGCTAGTCGGATGATTTTCCATTCTTGTTTCTGATTCCCATGGTGCATCAGTGAATTAAACTCATCGTATGTTTCCGCTGCTGCTCTTGCAGACGGGGATCTGGACGGAGCTGTATAAGATAGAAGATACGTTCCTGAAGCCGCTGCGTGTTGGAGTAAACATGTCGAGAGCTCACTACGAGAGGGAGCTCCACGACACCCTGGCGACCAAGAGGGGCAAGGTCAAAGGTCAGACCAACACACTTATGTCTTTAGAGAGGTGCAGGAATGAGTCCTAAAAAGAGAAATTAGTTACATTTTAGCACTTATGGTTCCTTCGTCTCAAAAACAGTTTGTGGGTAGATGCGTAAAATGAGTTCTGTGGTTAACACAAACTGAAGAGATTTAACTTTATAACCTAAACTTTTTGACAATGGATCAGTAAATACCCCGCTGGTGAATGTCTGAAGCTTTTACGTGTCTTAAGAACAGCTGTTGCTAAAAAGTAGCTAAGTAAACTGCTAAACCCCAACAAGCCAAACATTAGCCTTTAGCTTAGCGGTGGTGATGTAGTTAGCTTATAGCCTAACGTTAGCCTTTTACTTCTGGCAATTACGCTTCAAAAATCCTAAACTGGTGTAAATATGTGAAGATGAAGCTGCTGAACATCTCAGTATCACAAACATGTGGTTGCCACAGAGCTTATTTCCTGCTGTATTCAGAAATCCTTTGGAAAGTCCCATTAGCTTTTTTGAGGGAGCCCTTGCGATGCTAACTTCCGTCAAAAATCCGTCATTACTGCACGACTAATTCAGTTTCACATTTATCATCCAATCAAAAGCTTTTGCAGAATAACACCTTTTTATACAGAAGCCTGTGAAAATGTTATAAAGTATTTAATATACATGTTTATGTCTCCGCAGCGGAGTCCATGCTTTCTGTGTCCGTTGGCAAAGAGAAGCTGCCCAACATGACCTCAGAGTCTCAGATCCAGGTCAGTGATTCATACAAATCTTGATTGTTTTCATACTGTGCTGATAGAAATGTACTGATTGAATTTGAATGTGTTCCCCCAGGCTCTGCACTCGGCCCTGCACACCTTCGACATGATCGAGAGTGTGTTGGTGCGGATAGAGGAGCTCACCGAGGTGAAGGAAAATCTTTAAGCCGAGCCAACGAGTTCTGTTCCTCATCGTCTCAGGGACGAGCCAACACAAAGCCTTCAATGTTCTGTTGATGTATTCTGTTTAAGAAAAGCAACATAAGTCTGTAAAACATTATTTTCGAGTATGTCTTTTTCTTTTGGTATTTCAGCAGGTGCTTTAAAAGTTGCATTGTGTTTATACAAAGATTCAAATGATGGAACATTTGTATTGCTTCTGTAATAAATGTTCAAACTCTTGTACACACGAGTTAAACAAGGTGGACTGTTTCTGTTATGAAGTGTGGTTTATTCTGTGGCAAAGAACAATTCAGTTGTGGTTGGTTAATGCTGCATATCTGAAATGTGCATCCAGACAAATTGCACATACAATGTCAGTTAAGTTTGTAAAGAACGCTATTAGTTGACCAAAATTAACGGTTATATTAGAGTTGCAGTTCGGTGCGTGTTCTGGACATTTGTGAGATATTGTCTTAGTTTAGGAATTATGTTCAAGCGGAAAGAAATGGACCCTAGCTGACATTTGTGCCAAATTTCAAGAAGTTCCCTCTAGCAGGACTTCTTGTGATATTACTTCAGGAAAGGACAACCTGAAAACTGTGACAAGTCTGATGAACTGTGAGTAACTGCTATGATTATTTGAACTTTCAGTACACTCAGTATGCTCAAAATACGTTACATACTGTAAATGGCAGCCAATTGCCTTGACTTTCCCTTTATCAGAAAATCTAATTAGAGTGAGGCAGCAATACACTTACAGCGTTATAAATGACATTTTTATACAGCAATATTTATACTTCAATTCATAAAATACAGATGGAACTTATATGCACCTTTAAATTAAAAGCCATTTATTACATTGCAAACAGTCATCTCATATTGCTGTAATGTAGTGACAATAGTAAACAACATACAGAATTCCCTCTTGCTAAGTTTACACAAACAACTATTTAAGTGACACCACCTCAAACTACCTTAATAAGACTCCTTAAGTTTCGTATTGTTCTTTTTTGGTCTTCCAAGTAAAAAAGTACAGAGGGTATCGGGGTCCTTCAATTGTAAAACTGTAAAAGCCAATAATGAGATCAATATAATGCCTCAAGTCAACCCTCCTCCTGTCTTGTCACGTGCACTATATTTGGGTTATACGGTGCACGCTTAAAGCCCTTTTAAGTAGCTGCCATGGACTGCAGGCCTTTTAATAAGTAGCCTGCCTGAAAGGGTGCTATATTAAAATCTATGAAGCATTTAGGGGTTGAAACATTTGGAGAACTCCATCTTTGATGTTTAAAATGTATCAGCTTGGTCAGGTAGTTTCTCCAAAGATGTACACTTTTCTGCAGAATAATTTAATATAAAAAGGTGCTGCTTTATAAGCATAACTATTGTCTTGGCATCATCTGGTTCATGGAACCTGAACCAAAGAGCAGGAAGTCTTTCACAGGTCTTTGAAGAGGGGGTGCTGCAGGGCCTGAGCTGCCGTGATCCTGGTTCCAGGGTTCAGGTCCAGAAGCCGGTCCAGCAGGTGGTAGGCCTTGTCAGGAACTCTGTCCCAGCCCCGCTCATCCAGCTCCACCTTACAGTCTGTTTCTGAGTTCCTGAGTTCCTGCTGGTTAGGGAGAGCAGAAGGGAGAGACGAAGGCTTCTCTCCTGCTCCGTCTTTGTGCTGTTCAGCAGGACGATGTGTGGGCGTAGCATCTTGGATGTTGTGAAGACGGGTGGAGGTGGAGTCTCTGTTAGCTTCGGGGAGGGGTGTGACTTCATCTGGGGATGGCCTCCGCCCTCTGAGGGTCTCACACAGCGTCCTGAGGTCCTGCCGAGGGAGCTCCCTGCTGCACGCCACCGCCTTACCTGCAACAAGTGAAACAAAACAGGTTGATTATACAGTGACGTTGTATTCACTCACTCCTTGGTGATGAACTGTTTTTCTGAAATGACTGTATTATTTTTAAAGAAAGGTATATTATCAGAAGACTTTATTTGTCTCATAAATAAGATTTCGGGACAGTTGCTCCATTTTAGAATGACCAAAAAAAGAAGAATTGAATACAAATATTTATAAAAATGTATCAAGTAAGAGTGGCCAATTAAAATATAGAATAAAGTAAATGCCCAATAAAAGATACAGTCAAAAATAGAATACAAATATTTATATAAAATGTGGTTAAAATGTGCACATTATACTACAATATATAACATGTTTATTACAATATTAACAGTGTTATATTAGTATTCATAAGATATGAATATGAATTTGCACAGTTGAAAGTTGTATAGTTTGGGTTCAGCTGCAGTCTATTGACTTCCTGTGTTGCTCTGTGGTGCACTTCAGGGGAATGATTAGGAAAGCAAAGGGATCAGGTGAGAATAAGAATACAAACCAAAAGCCTTGGCTGCCTGGATGGTTTCTCTGGAGCCTCGTATGGTCATGATCTGAGTGAGGGCGATCAGGTCGTCGCTGGCTTTAAAGAACGGGTAGCGTCCGCTGAGCAGCGAGAGCAGGATCACACCAGCTGACCACACGTCTATAGCTGCAGGGCAGAGGGCAACATTAGTGACAACTACAGAGGGAAGTGGCCAATCAGATGCAGCGCCTCCTGTGAGGCCACCTCATTGTTAGCAATGAGAG